CCACTTGGAACCTCCAATGCTATAAAATTTAGGAACCCTCAATGTGTGGGAAGCCCCCCAAGAAGAATGAAATATTTTGGGGGATGTTAAAAAGGCAGAATATTATACTTGCCTAAAGAAGAAATGGAGAAGCATGTTCTTAAAGACAGAAAGCAGATTCAGTCTTCCTTAACAGCCCCCAGCAGACATTTTGTGCCCATTAAGAAAGATTAGGCCAGCATCACGGGTGGGATTCTACCAGTTCGGATCGGTTTGGGCGAACCCCTTTACTACAAAGATCAGCTGGCAGCAAACTGGTTCGCTGCAATGAGCATGTGAAGAGAGTCAGCTAGCTGTCAGGATTCCGGCAGTGACCCCCATTTAAATCATAAGTCTCAAGCCAAACTTCCAAAACTTAAAAAGGATTTATTAGGAGTAAACATGCCGGCACTTCCTGGGTGTAGCCGACTCTGAGACACACAATTCATTCTAACTCTTGACCCTGGGTTTCCCCCCACCCCCTGGGTGTATCGTAATTCATATCCTCCAATGGGACACATCCATAGCCAAGAGTCATCAATCATGTTCTCCAGTTAGAATTTTGCACAGCAGAAACTTCAGTCACCTGGTTACAATATTTGAAAACTATTTATGGAATGCACTTTCGATTTTGCAAGCTGCCGCACTTGTCCCACCTCCCTTCTGTTGGCCACTCTAAAAAGACCATAGAAATATTTTGTGAGTTGACACACAAAACCAAAGACCTTCACCTCCAAGGATGGGATTAAAATTTTACATTCCCCTCCACCCAAATTCTAAGAACTGGACAGGACCATTCAGGATATAATAAGATGAACCCACTACCATTTAGCAGAAGACACAGAGCTCACTACATGGCACAATTGCCTAAGGGCATTACACCCCCCCCCACACACACACAGAGAGAGAGAGAAAGAGAGAGAGAGAGAGAGAGGGAGAGAGGGAGTAGCATTTCAGGATCTGTATAAAAATCCTGACACTCATCTAGCTAATTGTTCAGCTGACCCAGAACCGCATGTTGTTGGTTCTGTCCATCGATAAACTTCCTTTCCAATCAGCCTCCATGTTGTTTCCGGCGTCTTTCTCCCAGCTTGGAAATGAACGAGATGGATTTTCCTTCCAACAAATGATAACGCTTCAATTGAACTAACCAGTAAGATCAACAGATTCCCCATTGCATTTAGTAGCTATAAATTTGCAGATTGGATGTCATCTCATACACGGACACGTAACTGGGAAATGAAACCCCTTTGGATTTAAATAAGTTTAACGTTGCTGATGGTTTAATATGACTCTTCCTCTGTTTGCCACAGGCAGGAGTGCCAGCTATGAGGATCAGTGGCCAGAAGGTCTGCTTCCCACCAGGCGTGTGGATCGGGAATTAGCGGGGTGTGAGCACCAACAGTGGGGGTTCGGTCCAAGTTGGGGAAAGAGAGACAGACGTGAAAGGTTAAGCAGAGCTTTCCATAGTTTCACACCCAACATTCAGAGATGCCGGAAGCCTATTTTGGGGCGCCTGCCCAAAAGCAGAAGAGCAGCCCCTGTGGGGAGTCTGTGATAGTCATAGATGCAAGGATCATCCCTTTTTTGGGCTGCCATTGAAACTTTAGTTGCTAAATGAAAAGTTGTAAGCGGGAATGGGCTGCTGGGGGTTCGCAGGGGTTCAGGGGAGCCCCTGGCTAAGACTCTGTGCAGTTCAGAGAACCCCCAAATAACACTCCTGGCTTGACCCACCAACTCCTCCCCTCCCCGGAGTCTCCATGGGGTCCATTTTGGATGCAGATAAGCGCAGGAGGGCATGCAGGGAGGTTCAAGGGGGCCAAAAAAAGGGGGGGGGCTCCTGGAAGTTCAGGCAGGGCAGAAATTGGGCCCTTTTCCAGCTTCCAGGGAGCCTCCAGAGTCCAGGGAGGCAGTTGTCGTCCTCCTGGGGGCTCAAGGAAAACCTCAGGAGCCTGGGAAGGGCAAAAGTGCCCCCACCAACAACATGGTGCAGGAGGCCAAGGAGGCCACTCCCACCATGGTCACGCCCACCCAGAAACCGGGCGGGGAACCCTTTGGTAAAATGGTTGGAAGCCCACCCCTGTGAGGGAAGGACAACCTGCACGAACAGAACTAATCTCCATCCTTCTAACTCCACGGAGCTTTCGTGCCTGTTTTCTCTTGGTCCCTGAGTGACTTAGCCAAGATGGACTTAGGAGTCCCAGAAAGATTGGGCGCGGGGAGGTTGTGGGGATCCACTGACGGAGATTAAACAAACCAGGTGCGGCCTGAATAGGTTCAGAGATCACCGCATGACCAGAAAAGCAGGAAGACAGATCCTGGGGATGTACAACGGCTCCAGGAAGGAGAAGCATCGGACTGTTCCACGGAAGAGAGAGTAGGTCCACTTCTCCACTTCCCCTACATCGGGGCAGGGTTGTGGTTTGTGGTGTCACGTGGCAAGTATGAGGGTACTGGAGAAGCAAAGGGATGGGTGCCTGCTCTTGGGCAGAACTTCACGGAAGGAGCTCCACATAGTTAGCGGGGAATAGGCCAACTCTACCATGGCAAGATCCGCGCCACCAGCCCTCATCCACCTGTTCGATGGATGTGATGATGTCTCCAGGGTCAAAGGAAATCTCATCTTCCCCCTCTGGAAAACAAAACGGAGACGGTCTTAACTAGCAGGCAATATTTGTTTAGACCAAGAGTAAGCATTTTCCTGACAGTTAAACAATTAATCAGCAGAACGACTTTCCTCCAGAAGTTGTGGGTATTTCATCACTAGAGATTTTCAAGAAGAGACCGGACAACCATTTGTCTAGAATGGTGTGGGGTCTCTTGCTTGAGCAGGGGGTTGGACTAGAAGACCTTCAAGGGCCCTTTCCAACTCTGTTAGTCTGTTATTCCTCACTCATCATAATTACCTCCAGGGGTGGGATTCTACCGGTTCAGACTGGTTCTGTAGAACTGGTTGTTACGGTGCTGCTCAGTTCAGAGAACCAGCAAATTGCGCCCCTGGCTGGCCTCTCCCCTTTCCACCCACCCCTCCCCTCCCTGCCCAGTCAGTCCTTATCGCGCATGCATGACATTGTACGCCTGTTTGACATCACTGACGGCATTCTCCCCCACTCAGTCACTCCTTCAGGTTTTCTTTTTTCTTCCTGATGATCAGCTGTTCCGACAATCAGCTGTTCCAGGGTCCCCCTCACTGTCTTACTGGTTTGCCCAGGAGGTGAAAAAACAGAGCGCAGGGCGTGCCCTGCTTCCAAAATAGAAGAAGAAGAAGCCACACCCACCCAGTCACATGGCTACACCCACCTAGCCACGCCCACCTAGCCACGCCCACAGAACCAGAAGTGGTAAAAATATTTTCATCCCACCCCTGGTCGCCTCCGTGTGCTTCCCAGTCCCCGTTATCCAGAAGAATTGACCCACCTCCTTGATAGTCATAGAGGGCCAGGGCAGATAGGCTTCCTTCACTCACATCATAAATATGCTCTTCAACACCTGAGAAAGAAAATTGTGGAGATGGGGGTTTCTTATGATGACCATCGTCCGAATGATCCTGCCTCTTTAACTTGAAAAGTTGAGTTTTGAACCTCAACTGCTCCCACCCTCAATGGCTCAAGAATTTAAATCAAGGCACACCTATCTCAAAGGGTTGATGTTCTAAGAGTCTTGGGGGACAATCACTTAAATATGAGCCAACCATGGGCAGCAGCTGCCAAAAAAGCCAACGCAGTACTAGGCTGCACAAACAGGGGGACAGAATCAAGATCACGTGAAGTGTTAATACCACTTTATACGGCCTTGGTAAGGCCACACTTGGAGTACTGCATCCAGTTTTGGTCATCGTGATGTAAAAAAAGATGTTGAGACTCTAGAAAGAGTGCAGAGAAGAGCAACAACAAGGATTAGGGAACAGGGAACAGAGAAACAGGGGCAGGATGAACATGAGAGACAGAACTCAGGCGAGGAGCAAGGACCACCCCTTCCTGATCCGAGAGCACAGAGAGTGGAGAGAAGGCGGGAACAGTGCAGACTGAGCAGGCTACTCGGGAGGAGAGCGCCCCGCCCCTCTTCACAAAGCACACCTGGGGAATAAGGCGTAAGGAGACGCTGTGGGGAGGGACATTTGTCAGGAACAAACATTAAATTCCTGGAGTGTTGAGTGCTGACGTTGGAACGTCCCAAAGTCCTTGAATTCTTTCCGGCTTTCTGGACTACTTCCCTCGATCCTTTGTTCCCTTAACTCCTTGATTTGCCCTGCTGGATTTATTGCTGAGCAACCTTGGAGTACACCACGCCGGGCTGGAGTATTTGCAGCCAGAGGCTACTTGAGGTGTCGGGGGTGGGTGGGTGGGTTTGTCATCATTTTGCTCTGGGTCTTGCCAGAAACGTGGGAGCGTTTGGGGAAATTTGGAGCCATAAAGGGGTGGTTGGAATTGCCAGTTGCCTGTGTTATCTCTGTGCCATGCCCCGGGTCACCACACATACTACACATTTAAGTCAAGACTTGAGTTTCCAACTCCCTGCCTGACCAACTCGCCCTCCTTCTCTCACCTGAAGAAGTCGTTCCTCCAGGCTGGCCACCGCAGAGTTCCTCATATTCCTGGTCCACCACAGCACCGTCATCTTTGGAGGTGTCCTTGTGGTCTGGCATTTCCTCATAATCCCCTCTGTCGTCGTCATCAGCCAAGACAGGAGGTTCCTCGTAATCCACGTTTCCAATCACCTCCTCATAATCACCTCCATCCTCGACACTTTCCGTATAGAGGGGCTGCTCCTGTCCTTGGTGGCCAGAAGGTGGGAGAGGAAGTTCTCTTCTGGGGTCACCTGGCAAGTCCAGGCCCCGTGGAGGAAGGACAGGAGGCTCATCCTCTTCCTCTTCTTCCTGGAAAAAGAAGAACCAGGTCCTTCAACAACAAACTCGCTTCCTGTCAAGTCGACTTTTTTTTCTGGAGGAACCAGAATTGGACCAGATGGGACAACCGTTCACTCTTAATGACAGAGAGCAACAGTCCACACTATATGATACTGGGAATCTTTGACTTATGACCACAATTGAGGAGGGAGGGGTAGAGGAGGACTTGGTGGTCTCTGAGCTTGGGTTATTTTCTTGCAGATATTTCATGACCCAACTAGGTAACATCGTCAGTGCTAGAAGGGTGAGGTTGGTCAAGTGGAGGAGGAGGAGAAAG